GGTGGTGGAATCTCCATCCTTAGAGGGTTTTAAGGCCCAGCTTGACAAAACCCTGGCTGGGATGATTTAGTTGGGGTTGGTCCTGCCTTGAGCAGGGGGTTGGACTACATGACCTCCTCAGGTCTCTTCCACCTCTAATCTTTTAGGATTCTATGATAATTAGGGCCTGAACTTTCAGTAGGAACCATGCAAGCATGCTCTTGCACTTGTGCTATGTCCCATTAAGTACACTGTGGGCTTGTCTTCACTATGGGGATAAATTGACCAAAGTTACTCTACTCCAGCTACATTATTCATGTAGCTGGAGTGGAGGTAGCTTAGGTTACTTACCCTGGTGTCTTCACAGTGCTGAGTCAATGGGAGATGCTTTCCAGTCAACCTCTCTTACTCTTCTCAGAGAGAAGGAGTACCGGGGTCAACTCGAGGGCGTTCTGCCATCGATTTAGCGGGACTTCACCAGACCTGCTAAAATGGATCTCTACTGCATTGATTGCAGCAGCGTCTATCTCCCCAGTAGTGGAGACCAGCCCTCCGGTTCTGCATGGACACTGACTTGACTCCAGGTCTTTCACCTTATTTATCTTGTAACTAGTAACAGTTTCATTGTTACTGAGTTATTGACATTGATCCATTTCTGAGATTTATTTTCAGACTGATACATTCATTTATATCTTTAAAAGATCAGACTTACCAATTTTTTCAGCAACCATTAATAAAACATAGTGAGCTGATTTAGCAAAGGTGATTATTCACTTCACAGAAACGGTCACCACTTAGATCAAACATGCCATAATGTGGAGCATACATTGTTAACCTTATTGTATTCCAATTTAGTAAGTCATATTTTATGAGGAAGGCTGTCTAGCTGGTAGGATGTAGTCTTACAAGATGACCTTAATCAGGTAAGCAAAGCTGTCTATTACATTTCATATTAAAACAAAAAACGTATACTGTAGATACTGAAGATATAAAATGAATATGCTTTCAAGAAGTGAGCCGGCTAACGTGATTCAGCTAATTTAAGGGTTTCCAGTAAAGTGTATTAAACAATTTCCTAGAAGATTGTTTGCAAATTTACATTTTAAGGTATCTGGAATATCACTCAGTAGCTTCAATCACTACACATGGAGTTTTAGACGAATGATGACTGCAGAACAAGGAGGGGGCGGAGGGAGGGGGAGAAGAGACAAACTATGTGATTAAGGGAGAAACTAAAAGGAAATAGAAAACCACCCATAGTGGTGCATTTGGCATGTGTTGCACTGCCAAGCATAATACAGGAATCATAACACGCTCAGCAGGGTGCAAAATAGTGTGTGCTGGTCTCTCTGGGAAGGATATTATCCACATTATAGATTATTATGCATTTTCTGCTGGTCGGCACTGGCTGCCTTACAAAACCAGGGAAAGAGCATCTGGCTGGGAATTGGGAAACAAAACAAAGAGAAAATAGCACCAAAATATATGTTATAAAATGTTGGCAGTCAGATTGCGGGGGGTGGGGGGGAGGGGAGAATAAAAGTGACTGAGTTAGTTTGTAGTAAACCTCAGCTTCTTTGATTTCCATCAGCTTTGCTCTTCTCCTTGCTACTTCTACATTGTGCTTTTAACAGCCTAACCTTACTTTTAAAGCCAACAATTTTCAAATTTGGGAGTCTAAATATACTTCTTTTATAAAGCTGGTGCTTGATCCAGTATTTTTTGTACAACCCCAAACTCAAAGTTTGGGTTGCACAAAAGACACAATACTTGGACCATGGAATCTAGTCTGAATGTACACCCCATTAGGCTAAAGAGACAGTTAGAGGAAAAGAGAAAGTCTTGGCAAATGAGAATTAAACTAAAATCATACAGGAGTTGGACAAATTGAACTTGTTTCTCGCATGGCTATGGAATATGGCTAAAAAGCGTATGTGTGATTTATAATCCACCTGTTTGCTCATGCCAAATAGCACTGTGGTGAAACCTGAAGCACACAGAACTTCTAAAATTGTTAACCCAACCTGGATAGTCATCAGCAGAAGACAGCAGATGATGAACGTTTAATATACTGAGGGTCATATTATTCCCTGGTCTTAGGCTCTTTACAACAAGACTACTCAAGTGGCATAAAAAGTTCCACCTTATGGAACACAATTAAAGTTTCAGACATAATTACATTAACTATTATTTTAGAAGGAGAGATTTATGACATATTCAAGGAGATTAACTGGCAATTTGCATATAAGAATAAGATAACTTTGAGATAGAGAAAAAAAACAGGTTGGCACATCATACTTATGTCTATTACTGTAAAATTAAGTGCTCTATATTCTATAAAAAAGTTATAATTACTGTCAGCATGGGAATTCTGAAGTCGTCAATGGAGTGAATTTCTGCAGAGTTTGTGAGTATGTATTGACAGTAACATACTGAAACCAGACCTGTAGAATAGAAGAATCCTTCTCTCAGCCCCTTGGATGGAATGATACTTTTTTTTTAGCCTCTTCTCATCATAGGAGACATAATTGAAATATGTAAAGGTTTTGTTTGATTGCATGTAGATCAAAACTAAGAAAAGGTTCACATAAAAATTATGTGCAATTACATGCCTAACTTCAGTACTGGGCAAACTGGTTGAAACTATAGTAAAGAACAGAATTATCAGACACAGGTGAACACGATTTGTTGGGGAAGAGTCAGCATGGCTTTTGCAAAGGGAAATCATACCTCACCTATCTACTAGAATTCTTTGAGGGGGTCAACAAGCATGTGGACAAGGTTGATCCAGTGGACTTAGGTTTTCAGAAAGCATTTGACAAGTTCCCTCATCAAAGGCTCTTAAGCAAAGTAAGCAGTCATGGGAGAAGAGGGAAGGTCCTCTCATGGATCAGTAACTGGTTAAAAGATAGGAAGCAAAGGAATAAATGGTCAGTTTTCAGAAGGGTGACCAGATAGCAAGTGTGAAAAATCGGGACAAGTGGTGTGAGGTAATAGGAAACCATATTAAAAAAAAGCCCCAAATATCAGGACTGTCCCTA